TTGAAGAGTGATCAGGTAGGAGAAAGGTCCTACAAATTCCACATCTCAAAATAGGAATATTTCCAGGAAAAAAGTAGGAAAAAAAATCTTGTTGAAGGAAAAAGAGTCTTATCGTGAAAAGTTTAGATCTGCTATTTGGGTGTGGAGTGTCAGGCAAGAGAAATATAATGTTCACCCTGCTCTTTCTCTTGGCCCCTGAGAGGATGTCCAAATAAACACTCCAGGGCCTGTACACAGAGGCTGTCAGCAGCCCAGGAACTGTGCAGACCACATGGAAAGGGAATTGGGTGTAGACAGAAGTGAACTAGTCTTTGTCTCCATAATTCTTTCAAAGATGGAGAGAAAGGAGAGGAATTATATCCTTGCATCAAAGAGCAAATGTAAAAGCTAATAGTGGATATAGACACCTGGAGATCATGGTTATGGTTTAAATTTCATCTGATCTCCTTTTCTTAGCTGTATACTCAAATTTTTAAAACATTGTGGAGCAAGGGGCAGGACATATAACATTTAGTTGGTGGAGGAGTAAAGACTCCGGCATCTTGTATTAACGTTAAATCCAGGGCATTAGCTCCCTGTGTGTTAAGTAATCTGTGTCTAAGGTAGAATGAGGCTCTGAGAGCAAGTGCACAGGTTTGGCAGCTCAGGGTTCTCTGTGTCATGGTTGCCCAATAGGAGCAGGCTATTCTCTCAGCCCCTACTATGAAGCATGATTGGACATGACAGGCAATGAAATTCAGATGACCTGAATTACATGGTCTGATCTGATTTGACTAAGCCCATACTCCATACACTCAGCTAGGATATACACATTTCTGGGAGAAAATGCCTAGCTAATTAGTGATAACTCTCTTAACATTCATTTCCAATGAAAATACTGTTATTGAACCCCTGCTGTAGAACTATTTTTCCCCTGATCTCCATTAATTGACAATAGTAAACAAAAATAAGTTTAAGCATTTTATGTTGATTTAATGAAATCCTTCAGTAGAGTATGATTCCATTTTTTCCTTTAACAGATTAATTTAGGTAACATACTCAAAAGCACACACAGTCAGTAAATGCAGAAAGTATAATTAGAACCTATATTAGCCAACCTCAAAACCCCTGCTTTTAACCGCTCTGAAATAGTGCTTCTCTTCTGAAATGCCACTGAATCTTTTCTCCACCACGTTTAAAGTTATGTTGAAGTTTCCATGTTGTAAGTGAACAAAAGACCAGCATTATACATGCCCCTTGAGAAATACCCCTCTACCCTAAGTGTGCTAATAAACGTGACCCCTACCAGCTGGGTACAACATGAATCCTGCTCCTTAATTTCCCTCTCTCACAAAATAAGGTCATTTGTTTTTACTACTGGATTTACAAGCTGGAAAAGTGAGTTTGGCTAAATAGTTCTTGGTGAAGTGGGGGAGGGTGATGGAAAAGAATGGAAGGTAGATGCTTCAGTGTCCTAGGCAACATTATTACTGCAGAATTGAAGTTTCCACTTCAGAACTGAGGTTTTTGACTTCTATTCAAGAACTTGATATCATAGATGGCATGGATCACATACTAACTTATGAGAAGAGCTGTCTTTCCTTTCCCTTACCTGCTTCTCATCTTCTTCTTCTCTTACTAGAGGGCATGGGGAGACCATGGTGGATAGAAAGAGAAGTTGTGGTGGGGTCTTGCTGCAGATAGAGAACCAGTTTCTCATGGCCCCTCCCCAGACTGAGCTGAGCTTGCCCTTCAGAGACCTGGCCCCACTGCAATGAGAAAACTGTCTGAATTAGTTTCACCAATGCTCCCAAGCACTTCCTAGACCACTTGTGGAGTAAATTAGACTTGGGAAAGATTAAGGGAATTCAGTAGAACATGAGTGGTTCTATAGAGTTTAAAACTTTCAGAAAGATAAGCTGGGAAAAGAAGACAAAGGAATAGAAAGTGATCTTTATTCTTATAGGTAGACAGTGAATGGGTCACTGGTTCAGGCATGGTGGTAATTCTGGACAGAACCTTCCATGTGTGTGATTTATCAATGTCAGAAATAAAAATTGCCTTTGCATTTATCATTCTACCGCCTTATTCTATTACATCAGCTAAACTTGAAATCCCTTTTTTAGTCTTCCCACTTCTATGCTTTATAAAATCCATAGTGGGTAAGCATTTTCCTCTCTGCTGACCCCCAGTAAGTTGAGACTATATGCCAGTTGGAATAGAAACACATACAATTCCAAAATTCTAGCAACATCTGCGTATCTCAGCATCTTTGCAGTGACATTGAGCTACCCAAGGACCTGTCTTTGTTCACCCAGTTGTTGATTCCTTGCCAGGACATTCCACCACATTAATCCCACTGATGGCCTGTCTATGTAGATGGATTTTTAATCCATTGATTTTTTTTAAAAACTGCTAATAATTCCATTGATAACCATTATATAATTCCTTATTTCTTGGCTCTTAATAACAATTCACACTCTTTAAAATGTACTACAAATAGAGGAAAATTATTTTAAACATTATCTAATATATTTAATTTCCCAGTAATAATTTTATAAATTTTTTTAAAGATTTATTTATTTATTTATACAAGCACTGGGTGCAGTCAGAAGCGCAGGAGGGTGAGAGAATTCACCAGAGCCAGAGCAGGGAGCAGAACATGCAGAAGGACCGAAGTACACTGCTGAGGGGAGCAGCGGGCAGCAGGAGAGGTCTGCGCGCCATGTGGGACCCTCTTCCAGTGGCTGGGGAGCAGCCGGGGATTGAACCGGCGCTGCAGAGGCTGCGAGCACCTTCGCAACCCAGTGCTCAACCGCTGCACCACTGGGGAGGCCCAATAATTTTATAAATTAAGAAAACAGATCTGTATTAGCAACTTTCAATATTTACACACATCAATTAAACAATAAATATATTTTCCCATAGAAAACAACTTATAGTAAGTATTTGGACCCTTGAAAAGCTCAGATTAACTGCTGAGGCAAGGTTATGCTTTATCAAATACGATTTTATCTGTATGCAGTAACTGTTTGACTTTAAGAAACACCTATTCTAGCTATGTCTATTTGATGGATGTTGCTTATGTCTTAATTATGATTCTGTATTACCAGACAAAAGAAACCCATGAGCAAAAGTTGAAATCTATATACTGGACTCTGGCTTCTCTTCGGAAAAAAACTTTGGGGAATAAAAACTAGTAATACAAAATGCATTCTGAGTCTATGCCGCAACTGTGAACAACAAAGAGACTATTTTGAATGCAAACATATTTTCTTTCAGCTGTGAAAAAAATGTCACAGTTCGACTGAAGTCTTGTTAGCTATTGTGTCAAACTGGAATAATGTTTCTATCAGAACGTGTCTCATTTTTTAAAATATACATTTTAACTATAAATGTTGGCAGACCCATATCTCATATAGGGCAATGGACTAGTTTTCATAACTGAATATTTGTAGATTCTTTAGAAGTCAAATTTATTTCCTCTAAACTAGATCAAATAAAAAAGTTTCCATGAAACAACCCAAATGCCCAAAAATAGATGACTGGATCAAGAAGATGTGGTTCATATATACCATAGAATATTACTCAGCAATCAAAAAAGATAAACACATGCAGTTTGCAGCAACATGGATGGAGCTAGAAGGGATCATGCTTAGTGAAATAAGTCAGAAAGAAAAAGAAAAATACCAGATGGTCTCACACATAGCAGGAATTTAGAAAACCTAAATAAAAGACCAGGAAAAAGACTAATCAATGCAAAGTAATAATCAAAATCAACAAGCAACTATAAAGCAGAGATAACACTATGGGGGCTTGTTTCCATGAGCTCCTTCATGAAATTAAATAATTAATGTCTAATTAATATTCTTATTTTTCAATTAACCAGAATAACAGGTAAACACTTGGACATATATAGGCCTCAAAATGATGGTGAACATGGACAGCCTAACAGATAAGCAAAGTGTGAGAGATATGGTGGGAAATAAGAAGTAATTGTCCTGCCACCAGCTTTATATGTGGTGACTAGAAATTTATTAAACTTTGATCTAATTGCAAAAATTGGAACAGTGGCCTTCTATGTATTTTAAGTTTCGAAAGGAGATGAAAAATGAGGTGAAACCCGAGACATGTTATTTTCTAAATATCACAAGCTGTTCTTTAAGTCATGAGCATATTTTCTCTCTCTCTCTCTTTTTTTAAGGATTTATTTATTTATTTATACAAGTACCGGGGTACAGGCCAGATGTGCGGAAGGGTGAGAGGATTTACCAGAGACAGAATGGGGAACAGATCAGGCAGACTGACTGAAATACACTGCTGAGAGAAGCAGTGGGCATGACAGGAGAGTTCTGCTCGCCATGTGGGACCCTCGCCAGCCAGCTGGGATCGAACCAGCACTTGCAGAGGCTGAGGACACCTTCACAGCGCTGCGCTCAACTGCCTGTGCCTCCAGGGCAGGCCCAAGTTTTCTCTCTTAACATTAAGTATAGTAATGGGATTGCACTCTGTGGTGTCATCACACAGGTACATCCTTACTGAGTATAGTTAGTACTACTTGGTGATAAGCTGGATGTATACAAGCACGTATCTCAGCAAATTTGTATCCCTTGTTAAAGATTTTCATTGTTATATTAATTTTGTGGGAAATGCATCATTAATTCACTTTAAGTCTGTTTTCCCTTGCAGTTCTGTGTTGGTTTTGTTCTTTACAAATTGTGACTAAGAACATGACAATTTGCGTCTTTGTAAAGGATATGTCTTTTTGCACAAAGAACTTAAAGTGTTCAAAATACTTTCGAACCTAAAATGATTTTTTAAGTTCCATAGTCAATGTTGCATGGGTTAGTAGTCAGGAATTCCTGGAGGACACAGGAATAGTTTTCTTCTCCTGCTCCTAAGTTATCAGCAGAAAACAGCTGGGGAGTTACTTTCTGAGCTCTTTTTCTCACCGAAAAAGGTTTTATATAGTGTATAACTAACACAAGATAAGTTGATGCTGAACAGAGTAGTCATAGTACCTTTCATTGCTTCTTCAAAAATCCTTTACTGGCTCTGTTGACCACAAAGCTGAAAGAACAACGCCTTCCCCATTCCAGTGATGAGCAGGTGATTATGGCACATTCTGTTGCCATGGCAATTGTTCCACATCCAGTTCTTAGAGCCTGCCCTACTCCATCCCTCCCTCCATCCCTCCCTCTCTCCCTTGTCTCCTTCCTTTCTTCTTTTCGTCCTTCCTCACTTTCTGAAATTGTGATAAATACAGATTTGGTAGTAAAAGATCTAATTTAAAATAGAAAGTCCAAAGATTTGTCATCAATACTCTTCAATTATAGTCTGATGTTCTGAACTCTTGAGTCGGTATCTTTTTTACCCATATAGCATTGCTATATTTAGGAACATATACTGTGAGTTGATATTATAAAACTTTCCTTTGTTCTCAACCAAAGATTTTCTGTAGATTACTCTGAAGTGACGATGTTACTAGCACTTGTGGGCTGAGGGCTCTGAGTTTTCATGACTTTGAATGGCAGCGTATATGGCCTTAAAGGAGATTCTTGATTTTATGCTTGTCCATCTGTAGAAGTAAGGATTCCACAGATGCCTAATGATCATAAAAAAAACTTTTTGGGACCTCCTCGGTGGCGCAGCGGTTGAGCACTGGGTTGCGAATCTGCCCGCAGCCTCTGCAGCGCCGGTTCAATCCCTGGCTGCTCCCCGGCCACCGGAAGAGGGTCCCACATGGCGCGCAGACCTCTCCTGCCGCCCGCTGCTCCCCTCAGCAGTGTACTTTGGTCCTTCTGCATGTTCTGTTCCCTGCTCTGGCTCTGGTGAATTCTCTCACCTTCCTGCACTTCTGACTGTACCCAGTGCTTGTATAAATAAATAAATAAATATTAAAATAAAATAAAATAAAAAATAAAATATTTTAAAAAGCTTTATGCCTCAAAAGAAAGAACTATACGCTTTAGCATTAAATACTTAAAATGGATATAATTCCATTATTCTTCATTATTTCTTTGTGAAGCAAGCGTGTTTGAGGAATTATGAGACTGTCTTATGAGCAAATATAATAGAGCATAGATTTGTTAATGGATTTAGGTAGGAAATTAATAAGGAGTCCGAACTTAAACCTCGGTTTACTGACTTTTAATTCCTTTTATCAATTCTTTTCCATGGTTTCTGATATTTCTTTTTCTATGATTCACAAAGGAGCATAATGGGAGATATTATTATTTGCAAAAATAAGGTATGTTGATTAAAATTCTCTTTTCAAATCTGCCTATGTTCAGAAATGCTTATACAACCTAAGAAAACTCAAATATATCTTTGATCCTTAGTTTCCCTATCTGTAGGGCTTTTATGGATTTATTAATAACAGAGCTTTTATATTGTAATAATACCTACATCATAAGATGTTTTATGAGTATTAGATCAAATGATAATAGGCGTAAATGTTTCTCAAACTCTAATGGGTTATATAAATGTAAGACCTTATTTTTGAAGGTAGTGTGTGGGTGGAATACACAGGGCATGAAATATTAGGCTTACAAGTGTTGACTTAATTTGTTGTGCAATGGAGAACCTTAAAGGATTCCAGGAAAGGGAATAAAAAGGCCAAGGAGAGATTAAAAAAGGTGCATCTTGAAGTAGCCTGAGTAATGGACCAAGAGATAAAAAAAATTGAGGAGAGATATGGGGATAGTTAGAAAATTAGAACAATAGTTCAAGCGATAGTGAGTCTGAATAAGGATAATAACTATGATATTTTTAAAAAGACAGAGGAGGATACAAAAGCTGCTCTAGAGATGGACCCATTCAAAGAATTAGGAAGGTGGGTTAATTAAAGAAAGAGTAAAACATGACTTTGAGTGTTCAGTTTTAGGTATATGAGAGAAAAATCAGGAAATTTAGGAGATAGTGTTGGGTTCTGTAAAGATGGAAAACTAACTCTAGGATGTGCTGACTTTGATGAGTTGTCAAGGGACTCCATTGCGATGACAGCCAGACCCTAAAAAGCATTTATTGAAATCATGAAAGGGGTCAGAGGATAAAGTAGTCACAGGATAAAGAGTCATTTGCAGAGAAGGAATGATAGGAGTCGTGACAATGGGGATCATGAGAAAGTTGTTATAGAGACAGAGAGGTCTATGTTCTCATGTTACAAGGCTGTAAGAAACTGAAGTTCTAGAAAGAAGCTGTAAGACTGGGCTAGAAAAATAAAAGATCCAAAAGACAACAGGATCATGGATTGCAAGGAATGGGAGACTTTGATATGTCCCATGAAAAAGGGTGTGCTCAACATCTTAAGCTATCTTATTAGAAGTCAATAAGGAAGGAGCTGTGAATTGGCATTGCCAATGGGTGGGTGGAATTTGTGTTTGTCTCCTTCACAGTATCTCTATCACCTGGAAAATGCCTCACACTTATAAGCTATTTTGTAAATATTTCTGTGAATGAATGAATGATGAAAATCAGATTTTAAGAGTTCAATAAGTGAATTGGTAACGGATTTTAAAATAGAGAATACAGACTGGCTTTTTAATATATTTGCAGTGGTACAGTTATATCATGGGCATATTACAACTAATAGCTGAGATTTATTTATATCTTACTATTATCTCATTTAAAGTTTTTACAATTCTATGAGGGAAGTATTGTTATCAGTTTCATTTTAAAGTTGAGGAGAGGGCCTTCCTGGTGGTGCAAGGGGTTAAGCACCGCTCTATGAAGCACTGCAGCCTCTGCAGCATGAGTTTGATCCCCAGCCAGGCAGGGAGAAACCCACATGAGGCAGACCTCTCCTGCCTCGCACACTGCTCCCCTCAGCAGTGTATTTTGTCAGTCTGCCTGTTCTATTCCTGGCTCTGTCTCTGGTGAATCTCTCAACTCTCCCCTTCCCCCGCATCTCTTTTCTGTACCCCAGCTCTTGTATGCATAAATAAATAATTCTTTTAAAAAAATAAATAAATAAAGTTGAGGAGAGTGGGTGTTGAGAGGTTAGTATAACTGAAGTTCACACAGCTGACCATGAAAGAAACTAGGATTCGTCTGATGCAATCATGGCTATACTTAAAAAATTCTTCTGTAGCTTTTATATTGCATTCTTTGTGTCAATTACAGTGTCCAGCACACTGAAGTATTTATTATTTTCCTGCTGATGCAGAGAACAAAACACAGAAATTAAGTCATTTGCCCAATCTCACAGTTAATTAATGATAGAGAGAGGGTTTAAAACCACGTACTCTGCATGACTCAAAATAAACAATCCAGTCAAGAAATGGGCAGAACTTAAAAGACATTTCTCCAAAGAGGAAATGCAAATGTTCAACAGGCATATGAAAAAATGTTCAACACCCCTTATCATCAGGGAAATGCAAATCAAAACCAAATTGAGATACCACCTTACACCAGTAAGAACAGCACATATTAAAAAACAAACAAAAAAAACACAAACAACAAATGTTGGTGAGAATGTGGTGAAAAGGAACTCTCCTACATTGCTGGTGGGAGTGCAAACTGGTCCAGCCACTATGGAAAGCTGTCTGGAGGTTCCTAGGTCTACTAAAAGTGGAGCTACCATATGACCTGGCAATTCCACTCCTAGGGATCTACAGAAAGGACACAATAACATTGATTCAAAAGAACACCTGTACCCCTACATTTATTGCAACACTATTTACAATAGGTAAAACCTGGAAACAACCCAAATGCCCAAAAATAAATGACTGGATCAGGAAGATGTCGCATATCTACACAATGGAATATTATTCATCAATCAAAAAGGATAAACTCATGCCATTCACAGCAATGTGGATGGAGCTAGAAGGAATTATGCTCAGCAAAATAAGCCAGAAGGAAAAAGAAAAATATTGGATGGTTTCACCTATAGCAGGAATATAGGGGAACCAAATAAGACCTCAGTGTAAAAAAAATAACAACTGTACAAAACACAACAAAGTGAAAACAGACAATTATAAATCAGAGACATCCTGCAGGGGAGGAGGAGGGAGAGGGATCAGAGGGAGGGAGGGAGGAGCACAGGGGACTGAGGTGATGGGGCACGGGTGCGTTGGGGAAGGAAACTCTATTGGGATTACACCTGAGGGGGTTGGGGAAAGCAAATATTGTTTAAAAATGAACAATGATGTAAAAAATAATTTTAAAAAATAAATAAATAAAAATACTCTGGTCAGAAAAGAAAAATAAATAAAACCATGCACTCTTGATTCCTGAACCCTGTTCTTCCTCACTATAGAGCACTGCCTTAAATTACTTCATGTTTGATGTGGATTTCTACATGATCCTACATAGGGCATTAACAAAAAACAGAATATGGACCAGTAAATTGAGAGTAAAGTAAACAAAGAATCAAAGCATTTGATGATAAATAGTAAGTCTGGTAGGGGGAGCAGAGTGGGGAGAAATGGTGGATAATACAAATTCTTGGAGGAGCTAGGTCTGGCTGATGCTGAGATCTGGGATGTGTGTGCTAGTGGCCCAGTGAGGATGAGTGGAGGTCGTTCATGTTGAGTATTTTAGGTTATGTGAGACTAAGAAGGCTGAATGTTAAGAGCTTTGGAAAACCAACCTAGATGAAGGAATCTACTCTGTTCCATGCACAGTATCTCAGAATTATTGGTGATACTCACATGGCGTATCTTATAGGCACCTTACACAGTGAGACCCAACCATCTATGGAAGTTGTAAAATCCTATTGGCTTCTTTCAAGGCAAGAGCTGAGAGGCAAAGGAAGTTCTAAGTGTGAATTCATGGGATTTGCTTTTAAAAATCTTCTACAGGGCCTACCTGGTGGTGCAAGGGGTTAAGCACAGCACTGTGAAGCTATCTGTAGCCTCTGCAGCACAAGTTCAAACCCCAGCTGGCTAGGGAGCTGACAGCAGACCTCTCCTATCTTGACAACTGCTCCCCTCAGCAATGTATTTCAGTCAGTCTGCCTTTTCTGTTCCCCACTCTGTCTCTGGTGAATCCTCTCACCCTCTGCACCTCTGGCCTGTACCGCTGTTCTTGTATGCCTAAATAAACAAATCTTTGTAAAAAATAAATAAATAAAAAATCTTCTACAGAACTGCACCCCAAGCTTTGCATACA